TAAAGTTGAATAACTTTTGTGGGCAATTTTTGCGGGTTATAAAGCAGAAGGGAATTAATTTGGTTAGTGGTAATTCCAATAATTCTGTAACGCTCTATTTGCCATATGTTACGTAGTACCTGCACATTATAGCAAGGTAATTTTGATAAAAGCGTTCGTTAGAGAAGTTCACTAGAAAATTCTCGTGAGTGTAGGAAATTACACAATGAACCCACATACATACGTATATGTTCCAACGTCACTGAGATTTCATTTTTGATATTACCCCTTCGGATGGAGTTCGTTGTTGTTACAAACTGAGGTCGTGAAGTTTACAACAACTCTGCGAACTGAGTGAGTGAGTTAACAGGGAGCATGACGTTTTTATATTTTAGGTTCACGTTTATGAAAGCGTTTAAGAACTTAATTTCTAAAGAGTTTTCAAAATCCATTCGAATCCCGTGCTTTTCAACTTTCGAAACAATAGCCGTTGTTTTTCTCTAAAAGTTCTAGCTTTTACCGTTAGCTTCGTTCGTTTTATATACTTTTACTACCTACGTTCGATAATAGATAGGTACAACTTCTTTTCTCTGTTTATAAAACGAATAATATCTAATATCGGTACACATGGGCGTCACCGACGGGTGGGACAGAGGCGCGAAAAAATTTAGTCAAATGTCAAATCATTTAATTCGTTATCAAAACATTGTTTAATTTAATAATTTCTTCTGCATACCTTAAAAGCACTTGTCGTAATTCTGTAATTCAATCTTTAAAGTAATATCTAGTCTATGACCCCAGAGCCGCCATCTGGTTACTTATAAAAAAATATTGAAATAATTCCTCAAGTATCATATTTAAAAATGAAGGCTTATACTATAAGTAAAATTAGGATTTTTTACGAACTTTGAAGCGTCAGGCATAAATTGTCGACGTTGGGCAGTATTGATTATTAATTTTTAACAATATTCTGAGAAAAGTGAGTAATGTTTTCACATACCTTTACCACCTAATACCTGTAAATGGGCTGTCGACCCAAGTTAACAGGTATCCATACATTCAAAGTATATTCTAACACTATTCCATCCTACCCATTTTGTTACTCAGAATGTAAGTAATCTCTGACTGCTCTGGGATCTTGCTCTAGAAGCTTTCGGACTATGTTAAGTGAAAGACTCTCATTAGTTTCCATTTTAGTGGGCATTCCAACGATTGATACACTTATTTCAATGGTTTATTTTAGTATCAGTAACGTTTAACCAAATCGAAAACGGAATTTTACTGAATTTTAAGTTAAATAATACCGCGTCTACTTTACAATGTACATATATATTTATTTACGAGCCCTGGTAACGTTCGGAAGTGTGGTTGGGTCAATTTCGGAAGGCGAAGTCAGCAATAAATTACGGGAGGTAGTTTTACGACCCTGTTCGACACTTCATGGGACATAAAACTGTCTGTCTGTCTCTCGTGCTTTTTAAGCATGTAGGTATCCGTCTATATATCAATCGATGTAGAATAACAAAAACAAGGTTCTAACTCTCTATAACGAAACTATGTATGTACTGTATTACGAATAATACATTGTACCTATACAGATAGGGGAAACATATTTACCAAGCATGAATATTACACTTTTATTTATCGGCATTTTTTTTTAATGGATGGACTGCGTCTAATAGAATATTCTTACGTTTGGTTCTCAATTCACCTGTACTGCCCTAGACAAAAATTTTCAGTCTCTCTCCAGTCTCTCAGTCTTTCAGCGTCTCTGAGAGCGTTTCTCACAGTCTTTCACAGTCTCTCAGTTATTGCCTAGGTATTTTTATGGATCTCTCACAGTCTCCGTATGAGAGACTCGAACGATAAAATTGTTAATTCAGAGAGTCGAGTCTCTCACAGGGAGACTGAATGAAAAAAACTGAAAAATTGTGAGACTCGAGTCTCTCGTAGAAAGACTGGGATCTCTGAAATATGTTGCACTTAGAAAATTTTAACCATGTCTATCAAGACACCACTTATTGAGAGATTCGAGTCTCTCGTTCAGAGACTGGATACGAAATGAGGATCTCTCTATGAGCGACTTGAGTCTCTCGTTCAGAGACGCTAAACAGTTTTTTTGACAGTGTCTCTCAGCGACACCAGAGAGACTCGATGAGACACGGAGACTCGAGTCTCGCTTTCAGAGACTCTGAGAGACTGAATATTTTTATCTCGGGGAATTCTTGCTTAAATTGAGATAATCTTAATCACACTAAAAGAAAAATACATCTTGTATTTATTCTTCTGGCTGTTTCTCCAATGACAAAGAGAAAATTCAGAAAATTTCATCTCCATAATAGGTGTATATAAAAATAGGGGATGTTAAAAAGTGATTTCGACCAATGTTACTTTTACCACAGATTTGTAAGTAAATAATTGCTACTCTAAACGAGCAGAAATATTTTGGCATTCACATTAAAAGTCTGATCCGATTTAATAAATACATAGGTGTGGGTAAGGTCGACGAGCGATTTCTTTTGATTTTCCGTTTCTTTCAAAAGCATTCGCTCGCCGGTACCTTATTCGGGAATTTGTTTCAGGTCGAAAGCGCGTACAAGTGAGTTACGTTGAAAGGGACGCTATACGCCTTGAGCACCCTAGAGTGTCGCGACTAACCCCGTTAATAAACCCCCTTTGTCGCTGATTGCATCTCAAAAGGGTCAAAGAAACTTAACATTCATTTGCAGTATCATCATCAGGAAGCAACGGCAACTATTTAGCCATTGCTTGATATCTGTTTACTGTAACTAGCCAGCACTAGCTGAAAGACGAAGCTAATACCATGGGCCTCCCAGTAGTGACGTCACATGTCAACATTTTGGCCTTGTATTCCAGGTGGTGTTAGATTCGTACTGCGACCATTCTGTAACATAATTTGTACGACGATGCCATGGGAAATCAAGGGCGTAACGAAACTTGCTTAATAGATCGGCCCTTTGTCTCCTTCTTTGTCATACATCTCCCTATATTTCATTATTTATTAAACAATACTGGTTAAGTCGTCAAAATTTGGATCATAGTCACTCTTACAGCGTATCTATGATCGAATATTGTCATGTAGAGCAGATAGCTGCACAAATTTTCATTACAAAGTAGGTTTCCATGCAAGAACCATAGATATTAACACATTTTGAATGTCATAAATATGTCAAAAAACTCATATTCCATCCAGTACGATCAGTCCTTTTATCTAACTTAAGATGTCGGCGTTTTTCGCAAGCGGTCGTAAATCAATTTTATATGTAAGTGTTATGCGCCAAGACGGTTTACTAGCTTAGTGTACGATACAGGATAACACTAAACAAAATAGCCCCCTGTTTTTTAATCTGTTGAATGGATAACGGAATTCTAAGACTTTTCTTTGGATTTTCGACGCGACACGACGAGTGTATTACGCGCCATGCGACGGAAAAGACTTTTTAAATAGTTTTTTCTGCTCTTTGTTTTTGCTGATTGATATGAATCATTACATCCCGTTGTTTTCGAAAATGGAACTTTGTTTTTATATTATTTCTGTTTTTCCTCAATCTGTAATGCTTTTTCATCGCGAGAGCGAAGTTATCTTTAAAGTTCATCAGAAAAGTTTAGAAGTTATAACTGCAGATTATGCTGCAAAAGTTAGAGAAGAACCAACTTAATCATGGGAAAAACTTAAGGCCTTAAGACACTTTCTTAAAGTTAATCAAAAGCTTACGGAGCGATTTCAAAATTGAAACAGCTCCCATAATCCCAGTGCCCTGAAATAATCGTCTAGATCAGAACGAAGTTAAAAATATTGAATTGATAGGACAGCATAATCAATATTTTGATGATTAATAATTTTTAAACTTTTTAAATGTTTTATTATGCTTTCTAAATTAATAAAACCGTCAATTGTTTCTGGTAATTTATTAGAATACATACATTCTGTCTTAAACTGTTTGATAGTAACTTTTATTTTTGTATTACTTAATAGATCCGGTTCTAACAAATTACCCAATTAATTTATATTTTTTACATTACTTAGGGATTAAGAACGATTCCACATTTGACAAAAGGACTCAAAGATTGTTATAGATACTTTGTATCTGAACTACCCTAACCGAACCTTACAATGTTCTAGTGCGTTGAGGATGAATCACGTAAATCCTGCAGATTTGAAAGGTCCTTGTTGATATTTAGGTATCCATTAAGTGTTGGGATTTTGATTAAATTTCCTCATATTATCAAACGAATCTGTGGGCTGCTTTATATGTCGAGTGTTTTTTGAAACCGCCCATTTAACAAAAAGCAACGAGATTTTCGCCATTTTAATATCTCGTGTAGCGCCGGCACAGATTCGCATAAAGTAAATCTTCTAAACGAGGTTTTGATGGAGATTTATTAAAATAGTTCTCTCCCCCAATCCCAATCTTTGCCAAAGTTTGCACTTCCCGAAGATTTCCTTTCATGTATATACGTGTATCTATCATCATAAAGTTTATGGAGACCGGAGAAGAACAAAGGCCTGACTGTATCAATGAGATTATATTTATGTTTGTTCACATTTCAAAAAGCCTCATTTGAGACCGAAAAGCTACTTAAAGAGTTAATGAAACAGACAAAGAAAAGTTTTAATCGTATAACGAAACCAAATGAAACTATTTAGTGTTTATTTTGGAATCATAATAGGAATATTAAAATACGAGCCTACAGAATGGTGTTCTGAGGTCTCTGGAGTCATTACATGAAACGAGTTAATGGTAAAACACTTTGAACTCGTTTAGTTATTAAATAATTCATTTGTTATGAGTTCAGAATGGCTTACATTTAATAATATTACTTCAGGGAGAAATATATTTTAATAAGGGTTAATGCGTCTGAAATTTAATTCAAAAATCAAGTCAAAATCAATTTTCTTTAGAGAAATGCAATTAAGTCAAGCAATTCCAGATTTTCAGTCTTATTAGATTTGTTACTTATTGTTAAGATATGATTTCTAGAACTTATTGTTTTCTTACCTTTGGTTCATTTTAATTTCTCACAAAAAGTCTTCAAACATTTGGCTTATCAGCTGGGAACTTTTCGGCATTTTCCTACTAACAATCACCTGCTTTTGAAGCACATAATTCATTGTATAATCAATTCAATTTTTTTACCACACACTTATTATTTATCTGTGTCTTATAGATCACTTTTATTGCAGAATTAATTTATTGTCTCAGTTGTCTCTTTGTAAAATAAACAAATAATAATTTTCACGACACGCGCTCGAGTTTTAGTCAGTCAACTTCCGTTGTTTCGAAACGCTCGCGCCTCTCTTTCCTATCAAGTTTCCGCCAACTACTAAACGCGATTCGCGAATCTCCAGTCAGTCCCAGGGAAATCGAACTTGGAGGATATTGGCCATTGCGCAAACGCCAAACTTTTTTCCAAGTGCCCACACTTTTACTCACTCAGTGCATGCCTTAATTACCGCGTTCCCCGTTGGCCATTAATTATTGAATTTTTGACACCGTTTCTAATTAGAAATTAGTTCGCTGGGTATCGATTCTAACTACGTAGTTTCTAGAAAAGACGCCCCTTAAATCTTTATCTCACCTTAAATTTTTGACTTCTGCTAAATCAATTTTTCTCTTTCCAAAAGAAGATTTATCATTAAATATACGGAGTTTATAAACAGGCAATTGATAGTAGCCCTGAGGTAAGACTACTGCTTTGAAAGCTGTAGGTCGCCGGATCCAATCCTGGCTGATACTACAGGTTTTTCTGTTAAAAAATCGTTAATACTAAGGTTTCAAACTTGCCCAACCCAAAAACATATTTTATCAGTAATTTATCTTAAGTGATTATGATTTCGGTCTTATTAGATCTCATCAGCAGGTCATAAGGGATCTCGACATATAGATACCCCTTAACCCCTTATTAAAGCCTTACCTAACATATGAAACAACAACAGCAGCTATTAGTAGGTGGCAATACACTGCCATAACTAGTAGATAGTATATCAACTTGCTTTTATGGGCTCGATGATTTATACAGACACCTTATAGCGTGCCAATGATATCTAATAAAGCATCCAAAAAGATACAGGTATTTACCTATTGTTCTTATTTACCACAAAAGATTAAGGGATGCAACACATTCGTTAAACTGCAACGCATAAAAAAGGAAAGAAAAACGAATTAAAATAAGGGTTTAACACAGTGGAAATGTTAACGAAAAAAGGCAAATGCAAACTGTAGGGATTAGGATAGGTTGTGCGTTGAATTGGGTCAAACTGATTCATCTAAAGGGTAAAATAGGAAATTAAATTCAAATAACTTCAGAAGGAGTGAAATAAGCAAGTTCAGGAATAATAATTTTATGTTATATCGAAATCAATCTCCAAAATAACTTCCTCTGCTATTTCTCGAACGTTTAAAAATGAAGGAAAGTTCACAATAACGAAAATGTCACCGCCTACGCTTGAACTGTGTTTTCCTGTATTTATTGGTTTTCATTTCGATATTGCTTATACCGGTACTTCGGATTTATTAAAATAGGTCATCCCGATGATGTCGAACATAGTTGAAAAATATCGTCGTAGGAGTATACAGTCAATAAAAGATTGGGTCGCTTGAACAAATTGTTTAATATTTTTGTTATCAAATAATACGAAGTCTGTTCAAATGGTATCGCGAATGTTGTGTTTTTTCAAAAATTATTTATTTATTCATGAATATTTTGCACCTTCAAAGTAACCCCCACCTGATATTATACACTTGTGCCAACTTTTTTTCCAATCTTCGAAGCACTTCAAGAAATCGTTTTTTGTGATCTTATTCAACTCCTTCTTCGATGCCGTCTTTATCTCCTCAATCCTAGCGTAGCGTCGTCCTTTCATGGGCCTCTTCAGTTTCGGTATCAAGAAAAAGTCACAGGGGGCCAGATCTAGGAACTACAGTGGCTACGGCATTATTAGGGTGTTGATTTTGGCCAAAAATTCGCGCACAAGCAACGATGTGTGCAAGGGCGTTATCATCGTGTAAAATCCAATTTTTGTTATTCTACAAATCCGGGCGTCTCTGGCGGATTGCTTCACGCAAATTACGCATAACTTGCAGTTAATAATCCTTATTGACGGTTCTACCCTGTGGCAAAAACGCATGATGCATCATGTTCCTGCAGTCAAAGAAAACTGTAAGCAAAACCTTCACATTCGACGTAACTTGGCGCGCTTTTTTCGGTCTTGGTTTGTGCGGCAGTTTCCATTGGGATGACTGAGCTTTGGTTTCCACGTCATAACCATAAACCCATGAGTTGTCACCAGTTATGACCCTCTGGAGCAAATTTGGATCGTCGCACACCGTGGTCAACAACTCCTTAGCAATGTTAATTGCGATGCTGTTTTTGGTCGAAATTGAGCAATTTTGATAGAAATTTCTCAGGGACCCATCTCATGCCCAAATCATCGGTAAAAATCGAATGGCAGGAGCCAGGTCCTTAGCAACTTCTCTAACGGCGATTCGACGATTGACCAATACTATTTTCTCGTTCTTCTGATATTCCGTAAGATTTTCATTCTCCTTTTTAGACCATCCTTTCCTTCCATTTGAATTTCCCATTTTTTACACCACTTCCTCTTATTCCACATCTCTCAGAAATTATGTAGAAATGTCTGTCGTTCCAACTTACACAACCAGCATATTTTCTTCTCTTCTTCTTCCCAGTCTAAATCATGCTGTAAAAACTAATTCGTTTTTTTCTGTTTGCTCTTTCGTGTTTTAAATAATGTGGTTTTTTCTTCCCTTCTTTTCATATTTTCTTGTATTCCAACTCTTTCCATACACTTGTATCTTTTCCAATTTCCATTTGTAGTGCTTGATTGACCACTCTCTTTCCACTGAGAAATTTCGTTCTTCGATCTTTCCCTTGTGATTTTATTTTCTACGTTTTGAATATGCGATATATTATATTATCCTTAACTTTCAAACATTCATCTAATGTCATATTGTCTTCCAAATTTAACAATTTTCTTCATACTTTAACGAATATATTAAGCCCAGTTTTTCTGTTTTCATTTTTTTTTTCTTTTGTAGAAGGTATTTCGGTGTATTTCTACCTAATTTTAAAACCCATCTTGTATCTATATCTGTCTCGAATCCTTTCGGTTTCTTTTCTTTCTTCCTACCCCATATTTCCACTCCGTACATTGTCCAGTCTACCAATATCCCGAACAGGTACATTCTTTTAATCCCAACCTTCTGAGAATTCTTTCCCCTATTCTCCATTCCTGTTTTTTAATAATTCTTTCTATTGTAGTTCCTAGTAATCTGCAGATTTGATTTACAACATTACACAAATAATCTCCAGGAATGTTTCAAACTTGTTCACCCTTTCATTTAGTTCGTCGAACTGATTTCTGCTTTCAATCTGGGGGCTGTCTTTAACCGCTGCAGAAGACCGCAACCGTAATGAGTTCTCAAGTGTTATTACAATTCTCGGTTTTCGAAACGTCGCAGAAGTTAATCGCTATTGTTACAATAAACAATCACAAGTGACGACAATCCTTTCGTTGTATTAAAAGGTTGACGGCTGTTAAGCTCACGGCAAGAAGCTGAGAGATAGAGAAACAGAGAGAGGGAAATAAGATCTCTTCACCTTAAGCGGTAACTTGCTTTTGTTTTAAGGGATCGACGAACTAACGCCCTTGCTATTGTTTTACTGGTACCTAGATGTATACAGGGTGTATGCAAATGCAAACCTACTTGATTACACATAAAACTGTGAATTACTAGTAAGTTCAATGCATTGTTGCAATTGGTAAATGCTTTCGGGACCACTGGGTTGAACTGATTAGAGATCGTTGTCGGTTTGGATTTGCTTCCTAACGTTTCGCTCTCACGAGTGGCGAACTTCTTCAGAGGTCTTCCTCCATCTCCGACGCTGGATTTTTTTTTATGTTTTCGTAGAGGAGGGGAAATCTTCAAACGACACCCAGCCGTCCGTACGACTGGGTGTGTCAGATTCCCCAGAAAGGTTTCCCCAGGCTTACCGACTAAAACCCCTCTACCTCAGGCCGTTCTAGGACCACATAACATCATCTTCAGCCTCGATACTAGATGTGGATGTCAAATCACAACAGCACCAGTTCACTGTTGCTACTATTTTTTGGATTTGTACATTCTATGTTAATGACGTAAGCACTATCTCCAATGATTCTACAGTAGCTATTTTGATGTCTTTAATCTGCAGTGAATGTTAAAATAATAAACGATAACATATGGTATCCTTGTAATGAAAATCGGTGCAACTATCTCCTCTGATGTTACGACCTTCTGAACTATTAAAACATCTAATCAAAAGGTAGATCTAAGTTTAAAGTCACTTAAACGAAGAGATTAGGTTAGGTCACAGTACGGAGTATTACGATTAAAATCGGTTCAAATTTAAACGGGTTCGGCGAGTATATCAATATGTATTTATATTAATACGTAAATTTAATTGGTATTGTTCTTATTGTTTTCTAACAATAAATTGAGAAACGAATCAACCCCATTCGGGAGTTACTTCGTGTCAAAATGAGTACAAGAGAGGGAGTAAGGACTTCGCTTTCTTGCACGAAAATGTAATTACAGGATGTTGTAGAGTCTGAGTGCTAAATAGTACACCTTTTAAGGAGAAGTAGTCGTATTGTCTCGTTCGAATAAGACGATTGTTCAATGAAAGAGGTGCACTAAACGAATGGAAACGTAGAACGTACCCACCCTTAACTGGAAATTAATTCAAAATGATAATCTATTCAAATTACTTTGAGACAAAGCAGTTCATTTAAACGGGAATCCGGTATGAATCATGCATACCTATAAGAATTTCGTTGATGTGACTCTAGACACATTATATTCATACGTATTTCGTGGTCTTGGTCTTCATCTTGGTCTTGCGTGTTAAGTTTTGGCCTTGCTCATTTAATCTGACACATAAAGTCGCATTTACTTTCCTTTTTTAACTAACTAACAAGACTAGAGCAGTTATAGGGAATATCGTAAACATACAAAAGAGATGCCAAGTAGGAATTGCAGCGGACACTAATAAAGAAAAAGGAATAACATTACACCAATTAATGTGTAACAGAAAGAGATGCTAACAAGACTAGAGCGGTTGTAGGGAATATCGTAAATATACAAGAAAGATGCCAGGTAGGAATTGCAACAGACACTAATAAAGAAAAAGGAATAACATTACACCAATTAATTTGTAACAGAAGGAGATGCTAACACGACTAAAGCGGTTGTAGGGAATATCGTAAACATACAAAAGAGATGCCAGGTAGGAATTGCAGCGGACACTA